TGACAACACGCCAACGCACCAGCTATCATGCTCTTCAAACGAGTGGAGCAGCAAGCAAAGCACAGCATCTGGCTTCTGCCACAGCTGAGGCAACTGCATGCTGCGGCACAGCACACTGGCCTCGACCTGTGTACAATGGGCAGCGCTACACGTGCCCCGACCAAACTGACCACATGGCACATGCCCGAACATACACAGGAAATGCAGCAACGGCGCAACTACAGCAGATGTGACCGTACAACACACGACGCAGAAGCAGCAGAGGACATTAAAGGTAGCCGCAGCATACCACAAATGTTATGCCAGCTAATCACCGTATGCATCGCCAGCACACATGCTTGCTACCCTCAACCAATAACACCCAACGACCACGACGGACACCTGCCACTAGACCCCTAGACCCTTTACCTCTAATGCCACACTACAACACACATAGATGCTAGAACAGACCCAACGCGCATTTGGCGCACCAGCATCACCCACGCGCAAAACCATACAAAATGCAGCACCTGCATGGCGCATCTGGCACCGACACCATGTGGCGCACGCAATCACCACCTTCCGAATCAAGCAGCACCCGACTATAAGCGCTTCCCCGACGAGGCCACATCGCAACCAACATACCTACCATCAACACAGCCAACACAATGGGTATTCCACATAATGGACACGCTTATACAGAGCGGTACGATACACACAATTGAGGACGTAATCGCCACATACCGTGGGCCAGGCGGTTACTTATCTGTGACGTACCTCTTCGCTGGACGTTTTATATATCGTTTCATCGGGACATTATCGTGGCATCCCATGGTAACGCAACCAAATGCGTCATGCACATTACAAGGTGATTATGCAAACTAGCTCACACGCCTGACTTCGAGTGCACTACGGGCGGCAGGGGCGGTGTCACTCGCGTGCCTTGCTGAGAGCAGTTGCTGCTCTACCCTTGGAGGTGCCAGCGATCCGGATCCGGTGCAGGACCTTTCGCTCGCCTGGTGGACATACCTAATGCGTATGCACAGATGCCAGGTGGACGGCGTGCACATAAGAAGGCGAACTGCACGGCTCAGTGCATCTGGCAGGGCTACACAGCGCACCGCACACATTTATGAGGATGTGATTCTCTGTGTTCGTCTTGACGAGCAGCCCTCTCAGCATTGCATTACCGAGTGCTTACTCTTGTGTCATCGCGATCTATTGTGCAACGCCGAGCTGAGTGTGCCACGCCGTTGCAAATTTTGGCTCCCACATGGGCTTGTGCGCCGTCTGCCCTACGAGCGCAGTCTAGCGTCACAATGCGCAGCGCAAGACGCGCATCGGTGCCAGCAGCGCGACCAGCAGGTACAGCATCAGCACAGTACGACGGCCAACGCAATTGCACACCCATCACCACCTACGCAGCAATCACATGGGCGACTAGCACCTCGACCAGAAGATCCAAGACAGCATCGACAACGAGTTTCATGGCCTGCACGGGACCCAACGGAGGCATCCCTGGGGGAGAGGCAGAGCTACATCTCAACGGTGACGTGTGACGAAAACCGACGCATACATTGTTCTGCCGATTTCAGTTACCGCAAATTGACGTGCGTGACATCATAGAGACCCGCATGAATTGATATGAAGATGCATCTCTTGGGCACAGCCGTACGTTACTCTCAGTTGTAGTGAGGCCATGCCAGCGCACCCCTCGTACATCAACCACTCTACCGCGTCTCGGTCCACCTCGTGCGCCTGAGTGCCATGCCGCGGAAGGGAGGGGCAGCCCTGCTCATGTGTCGTCGACCGAACAGGTTAATTCCTACCTTTGGACACTCCGGATTGGATAAGGGACAGTACCTCCCACGCGCCTTTTGAGGGCGCCGAGGAAGTCAGGTCGGACACCGCGCGCGACTACACGCGCATGCGCAAAAAGGGGAAGCGCGCAGCTCCTTTTGCACGATGTATATCATATTTCTTGGACCACATGTGTTCTCACTGCGGCGTGAGTGCTATATTTGTTGAGGCGTGAAGCGTTTTCAGGGGTGCAGTTCAGCGGGCGATCGGACAGACAATGCTTGCTCACTGCCGTTGCGACATGTTGACGCTGCAGTGCAGATTTTGTCATCTCCGTCGCGTATTTGGGCTCCGGACCGAAGCTGCGCCAGGTGTGGGGGGCGGGGGCGGTGCAGGCGGCGCGACGCCCGGGCCGACCCCCGAATCTGCTGCTGGGGCGACGCCCCGGGCAAGCCGCCAGGGGCGAGCGGTGCGGCCCGGCGACGGCCTGGCCATGCCCGCGTCGGAGGAGCGGCGGTCAGGGCGTGCTTGTCGGCCCCGCGCAGGCGGAAAGGGTGGCCTCCAGCTGGTGGGCGGGGCGCGGGGGGGCCCGCAGGAGCTGGCGCCAGTGGGGCCAGCGGAGCGCGGGCGAGTCGCGGGGGCCGAATTCGGGCCGCCCCCCGTGCTCTGGGGCGGCCCAGCTACGCGCGCGCACGCGCTCTAACGCGCGCGCATGCACGTGCGCAGAGACGTTTTCAAGCGGTGGGGCCCAATGGGCAGCCAAGCGGGCGGGGCGACAGCTAGTCCCAGCAACGGCCATAGCGATGAGTCGCCCTGATTGACTACGCAACCGCGTCTTCGGGTGCTCAATCGCCGTCAGAAAGCCCGCGCTCCAAGCGCGCAGACTTAGATGCACGTGTATCGCAATGTCCGTGTTCGCCGCCGTTCCCGTGCACGCAGCGATGGGTAAGTGCACCACTGTGCCTACGTGCACCTCAATGTCTGTGTGCTCCACAGTGCCTGTAGCGATTGCGCGCGCACCATGCGCTCGTGATGCCAATGCCCGTGCGCGCCGCGGGCTTCCTGTAAACGTTGCTTGCGCGTATCAAGGCGCCAGGGCGCCCGCGCGTAAGTGCGCGAAGTGCGCCGCGCTGTTTGTTCGGACCGCAGTGCCTGTCCGTGTCGCAACATTGCCCATGGAACCAGAACGCCTGTGTGCACTCTGCACCGCGCTTCCTGTGTGCACCGCAATGATTATGTGCGCCGCAGTGCCTGCATGCGAGCCATTGTCGTCGTGCGCCACAGTGCTTGTGTACATTGCGGTGCCTGCGTTTACCTCAGCGATGGTGTGCGCCAGAACGCCAGTGTTCACCGCAGCACCTGTGTGCCCAACAGGCACTTGTGCATTGTTTTGCCTGCGCGCATCCCTGGTTGCCTTTGCGCGCTGCTTGTTTGCGCCGCGACAATTGGGCGGCAACGTTTGTGTTGCGGGTGTGCACGCCGCAGTCATTGCCCATGCCACAACGTACATGTACCCTGCATTGGTTGTTTGTGTACGCCAGACAGGTAGTGTACACAACAATGCCTGTGCACCACGCTGTTTGTGTACACCTCATACGATCGCGCGCAGCACAGGCTTGTTGACAGCGCAGGCGCGTGGGCGCCACGTGCCGACACACCCACCCCGTGTGCATACCGACGGAGTTGCGAACGCTACCGTTACGCAGGGGGGTGGGGTGGGGCGGGTAACGAGCGTTGCGCGCAAGGGATACGTTAGCGTGGCTAAAGACCCAACCCTGTGGTTGCGAGTGGCGACTTTAAATCGGACTACTGCAAATACAAAAACACACTGGGGGAACCCAAGCAGCCTTGAACGGTTCGCGAAATCTGAGAGGGCCGAAATTTGAGAGGGCGACGCTATGCGGAGGGAGCTTCCCATGCGGCCACGGAGCGTGCAAAAGATGTGCCAAAGGGGACCCAGGTCACCATCCGGACCCTGCCGGTGGGGCCTTCGGTGACATTCCGTATGGGGCCACGAAGCGTGTGAGGGGTGCGCGAAAATGACCCGAGTTACCATGCGAACCCTGCCGCTGGAACCGTCGGTGCAGCTCCCTCTGGGCTACGAAGCGTGTGATGGGTGCGCCGACATGCACCCGAGGCGCCACGCGGACCCCGCCATTGGTGCTTTCGGTGCGGTTCCGTATGGAGCCATGAAGCGTTGAGAGCGGTGTGCCGGAATTGACCCGAGACGCCATGCGCACGTAACCACTGGGGCCTTCGGTGGAGCTGCTTATGGAGCCACGAAGCGTGTGAGGGGTCTGCCGCAATGGCCCCAAGTCACCATGCGTACTCTGCTACACGGGCCTTCGGTTGAGCTCCTTGTGGGGCCATGGAACGTGTCAATGGTATACCAAGTGCCATTGTGGCCTTCGATGGAGCTGCCTTTGGGGCGGGGAGGCGTGTGAGGGGCGTGTCACTATGGACCCGAGTCTGCATGCCAACCTGTTTTGGGCTTTCGATAAAGATTCTTATGGGGCGACGAAGCGTGTGAGGGTCTCCCGCAATGGACCCAAGTCTTTATGCGGAGTCTGCCACTGAGTCTTTGGATGGAGCTTTAGGCAGCGAAGCGTGTGAGTGGTTACGCCAAGAGTGACCCGAGTCTGCATGCGGACCCTGCCATTGGGACCTTCGGTGGAGCTCCCTATGGGGCCACGGAACGTGTGAGGGGTTTGCCCCAATTAATCCGAGTCACCATGCAGACCCTGCCTCACAAGCCTTCGGTTGAGCTTCCTGTGGGGCATCTGAACGTGTGAGGGGTGTGGCGAAGAGGTGATGGCAATGATGATGGCGGTAACGAGTATGACGGCGAGTATGCTGACGACCATGATGACAACGATGAGGATGATGCTGATGGCAAGGACGAGGAGGAAATGGAGAGGAGGGGAAGGAGGGAGGAGGTGGACGAAGTGGGGCGCGGCGCTGCGGGTTCAAAGCGAGGGCCCAGCACACAGGAGGGTTTGGAAAAACAGTCTCAAGGATGGGTACTCGGATGCGAGCTGCATCTCTACGGACTGAATTCTGGCGCCCCGGACATCACGTCGGGCCCGACGCAGTGTCCTGGATGCATCATGGACGGGCACGACGCTGGTGGCTCGGCAAATGTCTGCGGTTACGCAGTCGAGGTGAAAATCGTTGCAACAACCGGCTATGACTTCAGCGAGCCGTCATGGATCGCGACCAAGGGCATCCCGACAGCGCACACGGATAACCTCAGGACGCCGTATGATTGCAGGATGCTCTGCATGAGCGAGACCGGCTGCGCCTTCTTCGCTTTCGATGCATTGAAGCAGCCGGGCAAGGGCTTCTGCGTCCTGAAGCAGTCGTATGACCACCCGTCATGCGTTCCGCAGTACGGGGAGGATGACGACATTGCTTCAGGGCCTGCCTATTGCGGAAGCGCGGACACGTGCGGGGTGCTCAGATCGTATTACCAGGTGGATTCATGCTGCGCTGTCGCCAGTACTACATCCGACGCCAGTGCTACATCGTCAGAAGCTCCCGCCGAAGCTTCGTCCGCCTGGGGGTCCTCTTCTTTCCCAATCACCACAGCAGTTCTCTTGTGTTTGGCTTACAGGGGGAGTGGCGCTTCCCAGACGCTCGCGTGAGGCCCCACTCCTCTGAGCAGGTGCGCGGCGCGTGCGACTCTCCGGTGGCCCTTTTCGGCTGCCCGCGGCCGATGTCCTTCTCGCCGATTCGCTTCGCTTCGCGGCAGGAGTGTCCGGAGAGCGTTCCCACGGGGTTTTGCGACCGCATTGTCTGTGGTTTCCTCCCTCCTCCTCCTCTTCCTGCTCCTTCTCCCCCCTTTTCCCTTCCTCCTGCTCCACTTCTCCCGCTCCCCCACTCCCACTCCCCCACTCCCTCTCCTACTCCCCCACCCTCTCACTCTCGCACTCTCCCACTCCCATTCTTACGCCTAGACCCAGCGCCGCCTCCACGCCCAGTCCAAGCCCCGCCCCCGCTCCCACTCCCGGTCCCAATCCCAGTCCCGCCCCCGCTCCCACTCCCATCCTACCAACAGAAAGCACGTGTTCCTTTTGCTCGCGAGCCCCAGCCCCCGCAGAACACGCGGGTTCCTTCGCGTCCCTGACGCGGACCGTGATTCACAGGGAGTTCCGCCCGCAGTTCCAGCGAGGGTGTTCCTATGCGTACTCTCGTTCAGTTCGGCATATCCCTCGCGCGGATCTTGGGCAAGAAACTGGGTACAGGCAGGACGCATATAGAACCTGCTTATCCTTCAATGCTTTCTGTCTCTCGGGGAGCTCCTGGAAAGCTTCGTTGGAAGATCTCAGGGGCCTCTTTGGGCCCTCTTTGGGGCCCTCTCAGGCTCTCTTGGGGCGTCTGGGAGGGAGCGCTTGGGGACCCGACGCGGGTCTGCGTCGAGGAGTGGGAGAAAGGAATTTGCACAACATGCAGAAGTTCACCCCAATCATATTCTAGGACGCCTCAATGTGCCAGTAGGCACGGCGGTGGATTTGATGATGATGATGCTGCTGATGATGATGGTGATGATGATGACGATGATGATGATCATGATGCTCCTGCTGCTGATGATGACGATGGTGATGATGATGACGATGCTGATGAAGATGCTGATGATTATGATGATGCTGCTGCTGATGATGATGGTGCTGATGATGATGATGATGATGATGATGATAATAGTGCTGATGATGATGATCATGATGATGGTGGCGGTGGTGGTGGTGATAATGATGCTGATGTTGATGATGATGAAGATGGTTACCATGAGGATGATGAGGATGATGAGGATGATGATAGTGATGACGATGATGATGATGCTGATGCTGGCGATGATGATGATGATGATGATGATGATGATGATGATGAAGATGATCATGGTGGTGGTAGTGATGATCATGATCATGATGATGTTGATGATGAAGAGGATGCTGTTGATGATGCTGATAATTATGAGGATGAAGATGATGATGATGCTGCTGCTGATGATGATGTTGATCATGATGATGGTGCTCGTGATGGTCGTGGTGATGATGATGCTGCTGATTATGATGGTTATGATGATGATGATGATGATGATGATGATGATGATGATGATGATGATGATGATGATGATGTTATTGAAGATGACGATGATGATAATGGTGATGCTGCTGATGATGATGATGAGGGTAATGGTGGTGATGATGACGACGATGCGTTTGATGATGATGCTGACGACGATTCTTCTTCTGATGATGATGCTGCTGATGCTGATGCTGATGCGGATGATGCTGATGAGGATGAGGCTGAAGATGAGGATGAGGATGATGATGATGACGATGATGATCATGATGATGTTGATGGTGATAGTGATGATGATGCTGATGATGGTGGTGATGATGATTGTGATGATGATGATGATGATGATGATGATGATGATGATGGCGTTGGTAATGATGATGATGATGATGATGATGATGCTGATGATGATGATTATGATGATGATTGTCATGATGAGTGTGATGATGATGCTGATGATGTTGATGTTGATGACGATGGTGATGATGATGATGATGATGATGATGCTGATGATGATGATGATGATGATGATGATTATCATGATGATACTGATGCTGACGATGATGATGATGATGATGCTGATGATGTTGATGAGTCTGCTGCTGCTGATAGTGATGATGATGATGATGATGATGATGATGATGATGATGATGTTGTTGTTGTTGTTGTTGTTGTTGTTGTTGTTGTTGTTGTTGTTGGCTGCTGCTGCTGCTGCTGCTGCTGCTGTTGTTGTTGTTGTTGTTGAACATTATTTCTTCTTAAGAATAATTATTGTTGGGACCCCTGGTGCACGGCCTCTCCGCCGCGCCTAGGCCGCAGCTACATTTTCATCATTTTCGTGAGGAAGTCTCAGGCAAAACGATTGTGTCCGGATCCGGTTGTTTTGTTGACGCTCGTTTTCCCTTGCAAAAAACACTATAAAATGAAAATTCCTTACTTGATCAAATTGTAAGAATCCCTTGCAAAAAATAAGGTTGAACATCCGTGCGCGCAAGACGAAATTTCCAAAACCTTAGTTTCGTAGCGATTTTAACATAAAAACATCAAAAATCCAATGTCAAAATGTCCTTCCGCGCGCTCTTGCGGATTCATAGGAAACACACCACTTTTTAAACATTTCTGTCAAAAGGGTCTTTGCGTGCTACTTCTTCAGGTGCTTTGAACTTCTCCAACGAACGGTTGCGCGCCTGCGAGGGCCACCATCCCTTGCAAAAAATGAGACGAAGTGCACATGCGCGCGGCCGCCGCGCGCGCATGTCGAAATCCTGCCAAACACAATGGGTTTTCAATAATTTCAAGATGCGATGTTCAGAAAACATATGAAAACGCACTACTTTCTCATCCGAAAAATCTCGAAATCCATTCGCGGTCTCTTGATGAATCTTTAAAACCCAAGATGGCCCCAACAGGCGCGCAAGATGGCCCCAAGAGGCGTCCATGAGGCCCAAAGAGGCGCCCAAGATGGTCCCAAGAGGCTTCAAGAGGACTCCAAGAGGCCCCCAAGAGGTTCCAGAGAGGCTCCAAGGTGGCTCCAAGAGACCCCAAGATGGCCCCAGGAGGCGTTCTAGAGGCCCCAAGAGTCCGCCGTGAGGGTCCAATAAGCCCCCAAGAGGCCCCAAGATGGTTCCAAGGAGCCCCCCAAAGGCTCTCAAGTGGACCCCAAACCGCGCCAGGAGGCTTCCCCCCTTCTAAGAGCACCCCAAGCGGCCCCAGGGGACCGACATCTGAACACATACTTCTGTAATCGCATCCCCACGAATTTGCCCCAAAAATGTGACCAACTATCTTGGCACTGCGTACCATCTCACGTGTACCGTGTACCACATCATATGTAACAGATGTGATCAACCTCTGTGGGTGTGTACCCCACGCCAGTGTAGTAGCCAGGGTCGTCCGCACGCCACGAAGTGAAGTGTCCCAACGTCATAGGGCGGGAAGCTGGGTGTGGGTGGTCTCGAAGAGTCGTTTGGATATTTGGTAGAGCTTGAACGGCCCCCCCACGAAGTGGGGGTATTGGCTGGTGTCGCAAGAAAACCCTGGCACTGGGGAGAACACTGAGCGTTCGGGTAAAATGATTGTTGTTGTTGTTGTTGTTGTTGTTGTTGTTGTTGTTGTTCGCGAGGACACTACTGGAGGCCCGTTGCTCGACCCCCCCCCCCCCCCGAGCAACACCACGGGGCCACGCACGGGCCCTGCAGGGCCCCTGGTCCGAGCAACGCCACGAGGCCTCGCCAGGCCGCTGCGGGGGTCTGCAGGGCCCGACGGCGTTGCTCGGAAGGTCCTTTCGGGACTGCTGCGGAGTCCCATACAGGCCCCAAAGGGCGCAGCCCTCTCACGGATCGTGGCCCTGGCCCCACAGGGAGCTCCACCGAGGTCTGATTTCGGCACACCCCTCTCGAGGATCGTGGCTCAGGGAGCTCCACCGAAACTTGATTTCGGCGCACCCCTCTCACCGATCGTGGCCCTGGCCCCACAGGAAGCTCCACCGAGGCTTCATTTCGGCACACCCCTCTCGAGGATCGTAGCCCTGGCCCCACAGGAAGCTCGAGGACGACAATGTTGGGATGTTGATCGCTGACAGATGATGAGGCTGAACATGCGGACGAAGATGAGGGTCATGCTGATAATGGTGAGGGCGATGCGGACGAGGAGGAGGATCGGGGTGATGATGAGGGTCACGAGCAGGAGGACGATGATGAGGATGAGGATGACGAGTGAGGATGGTGAGGTCGAGGATGAGGACGATGACGATGAGGATTGTTGTGACGATGATGATGCTGATGATGATGATGGCGATGATGTTGATGATCAGGATTACGATCGTGATGTTGGTCATGCTGATGATGATTATGTTGGCGATGATGATGATGATCGTGATGATGATGATGATGATGATGATGATGATGATGATGATGATGATGATGATGACGCACAGGATGGCGATGATGAGGACGATGAGCGCGAAGAGGCGGACGATGATGATCATCATGATGATGACGATGATGATGATTATGATGGGATGGTCGTGGTCGTCAGGGCCCTACAGGATTCCATCGGATTCCTATAGGAATCCTACATGATTCCTATAGGATCCCTACAGGGTCCTACAGGATTCCGTCGATTTGTTTTGAAGATTATAGGATCCCTACAGAATCCGACAGGATTCCACAGGTCTCCTATAGGACTTCTTATGGGATCCCTACAGGGTCCTACAAGCTCCCATAGAAACCTCATAGGAATCCTGTTGGAATCCTATAGGATCCCTGCAGGGTCCTACAGGAGTCCATAGGCAACCAATTGGAATCCTGTGAGAATCCTATAGGATCCTTACAGGGTCCTACAGGATTCCATGATAATCCTCTAGGAATCCTTGAGAGAACCTCTAGGGTCCCTGCAGGGTCCTACAGGGTTCCATCGGAATGCTATTGAAATCTGATTGGAATCCTATGGGGTCCTTACAGGGTCCTAGAGGATTCCATAGGAATCCTATTGGAGTCCGATTGGAAATCTTATAGGATCCCTACAGGGTCCTAGAGGATTCCATAGGAATCCTATTGGAATCCTATGGGGAATCCTATAGGGTCCCAACAGGGTCCTACAGGATTCCATCGACATCCGATTGGAATCCTATTGGAAATCTTAGAGGGTCCCAACACGGCCCTACAGGATTCCATAGGAAGCCGATTGGAATCCGATGGGAAATCCTATAGGGTCCCTACAGTGTCCTACAGGTTTCCATAGACATCCTATTGTAATACTATTAGAATCCCATGGGACCCC